TTCGAACCATTTTAAATTCGAATTTGTTATTGCATATTGGTTCGATTATAGAATGATCAAATTGAAAACACTTCGTTTGATTCTCAGCAATTCTCATTATTCTCAGTGGTAGGTGTTATATAACAATTACTATGGTTGTTGAAATACTGAATACAAATGGAGTTTGCTTGCAAAACAACCGCGAGCGAAAGTCGCGGGTAACAGCTAGTTTATAATATAAAAAGAAACCAAATATCATACTTGTATTATTGATTAACGCTCAATCGAGAAGAAACAAGTAGACTATATAGGCCTACTTTTTTACTAAAATTTTTAGTTTAGTCTTTGTTATCGATTGGACATTACTTGGGCAATATTATTAATTAAAAATATTATTTTTTAAATTAAATATTATATACAAACTGATAGTAACCTTATATATTCACTTTATATATTAATTTTCACGAAGACAAAATAAAACTTTACCTCTCTCTCGCTTGGAAACTGTTAAAAATGGCAGTTTGAAGTACTCACTCTTCTACATCACAAGACTGGTTGTGACGTCAGGTTCAGGCCTGGTAGGNTGATAGTAACCTTATATATTCACTTTATATATTAATTTTCACGAAGACAAAATAAAACTTTACCTCTCTCTCGCTTGGAAACTGTTAAAAATGGCAGTTTGAAGTACTCACTCTTCTACATCACAAGACTGGTTGTGACGTCAGGTTCAGGCCTGGTAGGTATCTAGGTAGCCATGGATAGATAGGACTCATCATATCCGGGACGGGACTGCTCTTGAAAAATTAGACTAATATCTTTACCATATGAGCTTAATGATATATGATAGATATTATAATACGGACTGTAAACTAACCATCCGGCCGGCATACAGTACTGTACATATTATAGTACTTATTATATTAACATTTACAATGTTTTGTAGTATTTACTTACTGTATACAAGTATTGTAGTACCTCTCAAAACATTTACACTGCACTTGATTCAGTTTTTACACAGTAGAAACGTTCCAGAAAAATATTAACTATTATAAAACGGCAAAAAAGCTTAATTTTGAGGATAGGGATGGGTTTATAAAAAAATTGTAAATACAGTAATAGTAACAAGTAAAATCGTCAGTAAATCCGACTCTACTGAAGGTACTGTACATACGACCACCCTTATCTCCACACCCCTCGACTTTTAATCACTAAAATTTAATAGCATCAATCCCCCAATAAACAAATATCCCTGCAAAATTTCAGAAAATTTCGACAAAAAGCACAGAATTTATTAAGCTTAAAAGAGGGTGAACAAAATCGTATCAAACACACACACACACTAACATCCATACATTCAGAAAAAAACCCGGAATTTTTTTTGCATTTCTCGATGTTTTAAGGTGTCCTGAGTCCAAAAATGTAAAAATCTTGGGGAGTTAGTTTTTGACTGATCGCTATACTTTCCCTCTGTTATACATAACAGTCGGGAAAGTAAAAATAGATTTGTTCCAGACTTTATAAACTAGTAAAAATAATATAGTAAACTAATTGATTAATAGAATATATTTAAACGAAATATTTCGATTATATTAATCAGAGCATGGAAAATTGTAATTTATCGGTAAAATTTAATAAATTCATATTATCGTATTTAATGTAATAAACAGCGTTCTGTCTATAACTTATTTCATCAGCTCTGCTATTTATTAGAATAAATACGGTATTTGCACAAATTTTACTTTTAATTCGGCATTTTCAATTAAACACAAAATACTTTTACCTTTTACACCAAACGGCATATAAGAACTATTGAAAGAAATCGGAAGAAACTCAATTATACAAACAAATAGTCAAACTTTGAATTAAATTTTTTCCGACTGCCTCAATCGCCAGTTAAAGTCGGAATGAAAGACATTGTCGCTATATACGTTGAAATAAGTCCTAAAAACAGCCAAATCTTAAAATTCATTTGAGTGTATGTAGCAGACTTGCATGCAAATTTCACGAGTTTGCCTTTAAAAAAGAGCAATTTTCTAGAAAAGCAAGCATAAATATTTTTTCTTAAAACCAAATGGAGATTTTTTAAATGGCAAATTTATTGGAACGTGCTAGATCAAAACAAATTATATAAATAGAGAATTGTATTTTTTGTCCGTGTTAAATCAAAATCGTGTAAAAAAGGTTTGTAATAACAGAATTGGTGCATTTTTTGCTTATTCAAATGTTATTACTTACATACCTATAACAATGTATGGTACTTATTAACGTATTACCACTAAAATATATAGGATTGTGGAATACTTAACAAAATAGTATTTTTTTAAAACTTTTTACTTGAATTATCCATAGGAATTTTATAGTATCTAATACGTTAACTGTTATATCTATTGTAGTGTTTATTATAGTATAATACCCATTAAAATATGTACAGTAAATATATATTACCTATTGTAACACTTACTGTATCTATCTATTTTATCTACATTATGCCTGCTATGAAAAGTATTTTCAACATTTTATAGTACTATTTACATTACGATACTTAATTTTATAATACATTTCTCAAAGATAATTTTAATATTTTCAAAGATAATTTTTTAAAAATATCTGTAAGATTCTCAAAATGCTTTTTAATTGGCATAAAGCAGATGATTATTGCATTGTAAATACATTTTGAAATATTCGATATAACTTATTTAGCAAATTCATAAAAATGTGAATAAGATTTAATTTTTTTAAATTAAGAGATTGCTTTTGATATAAATAAATATTACTTTAGAATTTTATGATGAAAAAAAGAAATTTAATTTCTATTTTTAATTATTTTTTAATATTATAGGCCTAAATTATATAAAGTAGTGATTCTCAAAAAAAGAAAGTTCTTTTTCAAGACAATGTAAATGATAGTGTGAAAAACTTAATATAATAATGAAAATTTCAATTAATTTTGAAGAAACTTTAATTAAAAAACCCTTTTAAGATATTTAAAATTTATTTTTATTACTGTACATTTTTATAAGAAGTTAGTTTATACCTAAAATTCATATCTCGACTATAAAAGTCGAATTTATTAATTCAGTAACACCTATCAATTAATAAAGTCAAATCAATAAAGTATAAATACAGATTTATATATTATTCATACGTATTCATTTTTATATCTTTAAAAAATCTGTATTTTAAAAATTATTGATATGATGCTCATATTGTGTTTACTTCTATCGATATGATTTTCCTATCCAATCATAGATTTATCTTCAAGGTATCTACTATATATCTGTTTTATTTGATTTAATTTTATCGATATTTTGTATTTCTTTTCGCACTTAAAATATCTCTAATGTTTATAAATACCTTACGAATAACGAAAACCTTTGTAAATACTACAGTTATCTTCCACTTTCTAAATATTACAAACATAAATACGAAAAATAAAACTCTACAAATACTTTTTAATATTTATGTAGAAATTCTACGAATATACATTTCAATATGTCTTATAAGTAATGTATATCTTCTAACATCTATAAACATCTATTTATAATACATATTAATATCTAAGAATATCTTCTAAAGTTTTAAAAAATTTTCTAATATTTTCTGAAATATTAGAAACTATTTATGGATATTTTAAGTATTTTTCTGTATAAAAATCCTGTTGATTACATTTTACAGCTAGACCTTTATTTAAATACATTACCACTCTACAAGAAAATATTAAGACAATATTTTAAAATATTTAATGGGGTTTATATCTTTTAAAATTGTTTTAACATGCTCGTTATAACGTTAGAATCAACAAAATTAGAAGTTGCACTAATTATAATCATATTTACTTTTTAATNCTACAAATTACAAAAAATAATAGAATTTATAGCTTATTATCTATTGCACATTTAAAAAATTTAAAATCAAATTTTATTTAATTAAAAAATCAGATTTTTTTAAAAAAATGACCATTTAATATGGAATCTAAACACTAAAATGTCATTAATTGGATATCAATAAAAGAATAAAGTATTTTAATGTTTTATTCTAAAGAATAAAATGTAATAATTTTCAATAAAAATGATTAAATTTTGTGGGTTTTTTTTAAAGAAACGATTTTTGTTATTGAAATTGATTTATGGCAGCGATTGAAGAAACGCAAATGTTATATATACAATTGGAAAATATAAGCCTATATATAGCTCGAGAGCTTTCGAGGTTTTTTAAAGAATATTTTTAAAAGATTTTAACTGTTTTATAATATTATAAAAATGCTTATTAATAAAACTTATATATTTTGAATTCAGAAATTGATTTAGACAGTATTTTAAATTCAAAAGCTATTTAGAAAGTTACATTACAGTAAACTGTTGATGTAATGACCCACCCGGTATAGTGAACAATTTTTTGGTTCTTGCTATTATAAGTTTATTTATAGTAAACTCTTGATATAGAGAATGATTTAGCTGTCTTTAGAGGGTTCTTTATAATTTGAATCCAAAGATTGACCATTCTAAAATAGTGTATAATTTTCGATTGAAAATATACAATTCTCATTAATGAATAATTTATATTATTATAAAAAAGTAAATATAAATGTGGAATAATAATACATTTATTATAGGCCTATATAATTTATAATTTATAAATAATTATATTTCGGAACTTTATTGAGCTGTTATTAATTAATTGTTAATAAATAATATATGAGTCAATTAATTTTTAATACTGTAGAGTCTATTGAGAAAAATTAACTTGTAATTCTTATTTAAAAAAAAGTAGAACAAAGTACTCATTCTTGTCGTTCGATAACTTGGAAAAATATCGATTTAAATCACATTTTATTATTATTATTATTTTTTAAAATTTTACTCTGGTGTAATTCATTTGGTTTATCAATAAGTAAGAGTGTAATCGTTCCCTAATAAAATATATAATAATAAATTAATTCGAATAATACACGACTTAATTGTTAATTAATGTAAAAGAGTAGGTATTTGTATTGATACTTCTATCTTCACGCGTGACATTATCCGTCTATAGATTTAGAAATACATTGATTCGTTTATGTTATTAATGTTTATTTTTCATATTTTTTTTAATGGAGGGGTCGAAATTTATTCTTACGTAGGAAATCAAATACGCAATCCTCTGTTAGTTTCTTCCTCGCTTTCAACGTGTTTGCCACCCGGTTGTCATGGCAACTGGTCGTTCGTGACGACATTCGATTTAGTAGTGTTTGAGGGAGAAGGGAAAGCCGACATCCAGGAGAAGAGTTTACTTATTTTGCCCGGTTGACCGAATGACAGTTGCGATGCCAACGGATACTGGAAGCGAAACGGTAGCATTTACTACAGGTATGTTTATTGTATTCGGTTTTTTATTTATTGGGAAGTGTACAATAGAATATTTGGAGGAATCAATAGTGGGATCTATTATGCAAATGAATAGCGTAATAATTGAGTGAAAGTATTGAAAAAGTATGTTAGAAACATGTTATTACTAATTCATTTTTTTAAAACTGTAAACAGTTATACAACGATCGTATGCTTTCTGTCGTAATTAAATTTCTTTTTTTCATTTTAATTGTAGTTTTTCGTTTTGTGCATATACTTTATAAATGAAACATGAGGTGTCATCTATAGAATTTTATAGAAAGTATAATATATTTACAAATATAGTGACCACAATAGTTTAAAATGGTATATATAAAACTTGATATACAAATCTAATATAGAAAATATAATATGTAGAAGGTACAAGACAATCTCAACATTTGCTTTGTCTATACAAAGGAATGTTGAAAATACATAGTATTTATTCGCCTTATTTTTAGTACAGTTTGTAATTACAGTACAGTTACATATTACTTATATTCACAAAGAATGTATTTACAGTATATGTATATTTTCTACATAATTATACGTACCGGTACATTCGTTTTGCAGAATATTGTCAAATTCATGTAAAAGTATAGAATTTTGTAATGAGAAAGTGTAGAAATGATGTTAGATTGACGTAAAAGTGTATATTTACGAGTTCTTGGCTAAGCAAATATAGTATAAATACACCTTATGTATATTGTAGTGTATGTAAAGTATGTGTTACTATACAAAGTGTATATATACAGTATATATAGAGTATATGTAATTATTACATGCTACTGGCATACTATATGAAGTATCCAAAATATGCATATATCATTAATATACTACATTTACATATTTAATTTGAATATAAAATGATATATAGCCTAAAATTTGTTAATACATAATATCGGAAGTATATTAAAACTTAACATGGAAAATATATTATGTAAAATAAATATAGGCCTAATGTTTGTAAATAATGTACAGTTTATCTTCTAGATATTATATTTTTTTACATATGCTATAATTAACTTCAAAATTATACAAATAGTGTAGAAAATACATTAAAAAATATTAAAAAATTTAATTTCAATAGAAACATTCCTTCTTAGTTGATAGCGATTTATGGTTTATAGTTATTCTTAGTTCAGATTATTTTATAGCTTAAATTACTCTATATTAATTTATATGCTTTACTATTACTTTAAATAATGAGATATAGAATAACTTTGTATTCGCTTTCTATTATCGATAAATACGTGTAATTCGAATCTTGTTGACAATATTATTATTATAACGTTTTTGTTAAATTTTTCATTCATTCACTCTCTAAATATAAATTTTAATTAAACTTTATAATTTTCTCTTAAATTTTATATAAATTAAGTCAGAATTAGGTCCTCTCTGAAATTAAAAGAGCATTTCAGATCTCCAGCATATTAAAAAACAAAACTTTATTGAAAAATTTTATTAAATTTTATAAATAATTTATAAAATATTCAATAAAATATAAAAAAATTATAAACATATAACGTTTTTCTAACATTATTATCATATACACAATAATTTGTAAATCATTTGGAATAAATATTTTGAAAGTAATGTCAACCTTATAAATTTGAGTCCTAGGCTTAAGGTTTAGTCAGAATTTTTAAAATAACATTTATTTTTTAACGCTTCTCTTCACATTGTATACTCAGTAATTAAAATGTAGTTTACTTTAAACACACAAGCAATTACTTCTTTAACGAGCAGAAAACTATTCACTTTTACTCATTTATAAACAAAGAGAGAATATCTAAAATTACAGCTATTTTTTTCTATTTTTATTGATATTTTGTTAGTTTTGCTAGTCTATGCTCTTAAAAAACCAATAAAGAAATTCTCGTAATGACATCTACACGTGGTACTTTTCTCACAGTTCTCTTCTAAGAAACGATTTGATTTTAATTCTCAGTAATCTGTTTATTTCTCATGATAGCTGCAATTTAGCAACGATTGGTAATGGAGAACTTCTTTGGCTTACTTGTATCTAATAAGGCAAAGAAGCTGTAAAACTGTTTCCTTTTCTAAATTAATGAAAAAGTTGTGATTCTTTTGTAATGTTTACGCATAAAAATGAGTTCGCTACGTTGTATTGTAGACTTACCGAATAGTTGAATAATAAAAAAAATATTGGATAACGTATATATTAAAATATAAAAATCTATTTAAGGCTTTCAGAATATTAAAAGCACAAATTGTTGTTAAAAAAACTGTCTTATCAGCGGTGGAGGATTTCTGATTAAACCCAACCTGGGGTCGCAAAAATTCAAAATAATAATAATGAAAATGAAATAATGAAAAAATAATTTTACATAGAAGTAATTCATAAAGGAATAAGTGCAAATTAGAAACTTAAGAATCGATAAAAACAAAAGGCATATCAATTGAATAGTATTAATACTGTATATGAGTATATTTTACATGAACAGGTACTAATGACGGGTTTTCAATAGTGGGGCTCTACCCTCTCGATATTTAAAAATCTTTAAAAATACAATTATTGAAGAATTAAAATTTATAAAATAGAATCATCCAATGCAAAAGTGGCACAATTAGCTTCGAAGTGGTTGCATATTATGGTTGTAGGAGTACAATATTTCGAAATACGCTATCGCTTATTAGACTAAATTATCTTAGTTATCCGTTTACATTATTAGTCAAAAATTAATACAAGTTTATCAAATTCTGCCACCGTCTATTCACTAAGTCCTAGAAACAATACTTTTGAACTTTATCTTTAAAATAAGAAGAAAAAGAAACGGATGTACTTTTCTAAATCGACCTCATCCCTCCAGAACACACACGACCTGTTGATAATTTTCGATTGAATTCTTAATTTTTTAAATTTAATCTGACGTTTATTTTATTCCTAATAAATAATACGCAAATCTGAGAATATTCTTTAACTAAATAGCGAAGAAATAATACTGTATATATTATATACAGTAGATCTTTTACGATTTAATTAGTTCTTGGAAAACCGTCGTTAAGCTAGCCATCGTAAATCGAACCCTGAGAAGTTCAGTGTAATAAATTGAAATTATTCATCTGCAAATAACTTTTAATTATATAATCTACACTCAAATTTCCATAAAATACATAAAATGCTTTAAATATGATATTTTATAGATTATAATTTTAATTTATACTAGTTTAAACGCGAGAAGTCATAAAACGGATACTGTGGTTTTATCATAATATACAAATATTTCCATTATTTCTCCACTACTTATCAAGCTTGTTATTACAAAAAATATTCTAGAATTACATGATTTGGAACATTAAAATTATATTAGTGCATTACTTCAAATTTTCATATCGAAGTATACCGTATGTTTTATTCATAAATAGCTTGTAGAGTGTTAATAATTCATTATAATTACACTCTAAAGGCTAATTATACTAAGTTTTTTCATTTCATATTAACATATTCTAATAAGTAATCTGAATTTTTTATTACAGATTTAATCGACGTCTCAAATAATTTTCTTATTTAGAAGTTGTCATATTATATACTTTCAATTGAAACGGTGTTTGGTAGCGTTATAAATATTATTGTCCTAGCAAAAACTGCTGTGAGTTAGAGAAAAATTTAATTTAAAATAGAAGTGAACTTTCAATCGGTCTCTTTAGTATATAATTGCATTTGCATTTATTGTCTGAAGCAAGATAAGCCTGGCCAATCACGAAAGTCATAAAAATAAATGAATACGATTAATAACAAAACAGTATTTATCACGTACAAGAATATGTTTAATTGTTTTTCGTTTTATATATAAGAAGCACACATAAAGAAGCCCCAAAATTTAGGCAAGAATCTGCAATAGAGAAGTTCCTAAAATTAACTACAGAAGACTAGAAAATCAGAGACTTGCAGAGTACTAACAGGTTCTTCTAGTTCGCTTGTACTAATAGTCAAGTACGAATTTTATTATTTCAAAAAGAAGTATAGAAATTCTGATTTCTCTTGATTAATTCACACAGTTTTTAAATGTTATTAATGTTCTGCCATCAAAGACGGACAGCAATATTTAAAATGATTTTATTCCATTCCGGATTTTGGCTAAATTCCACCTATGGAATTTAGCCAAAATCTTTCATATGGAAATTATTCCTGCATTTACTTCAAGCTGAGATACATTCTTCCATTCTATTTGGAGAATACATTTTGTTTGATATGTAAATTTAGTTTTGTTTTTTCTAATAAAATTAGGGATCAACGTTTGACAGGGAAACGTTTGAGTTAAACACGAGAATAAATTGCTGTATTTGGTTTAAATGGTTTATTCTCCGAAAAATAAAAAAGGGCCAATAATATAGAAGCTGTAGCTTCTTTTCTTTTGCTATAAATCCGAGGAAAAACTAAATAAATTATTATTTTTTTTGTCTTTCTTTCTTTTTAATTAAGGAACAACAAGTAATTTGGTCAAACTGTTGATGCTGTTGATTGTATTTCTCCTATTTTTTTTAGGTTAAAATTTTCCTTATCTTGCCTTTCTATCTTCTGTTCAAATAAATTACTCTATGACCTATCGGAAGATAAAGACTTGAATAAATTAAAAATATAGTGAATTCTTGATCTAGTGAATAATCGATATAATGAATAAATTTGTTAGTTCTTGCTATACTTTATGTAGACAGTATAGTGAACTCTTGATAAACTGTAGTGAGTGATAAGCTCAATCCTTTAAGAATTTACTATTTCGAGTTTATTGTATATTATGTAATTATTATAAATTTGTATGTTTTTTAAAGTGAAATATCAAGAAAATTTTTGCCATTTCTCAACATAAATACAATATATAAGGCGAATTCTCTAACACATTTAAATATATACTATACACTCATTCAAAATGATATCAATAATAACAAGTTTCATAACTTCAATTTAAATGGAAATAAAAGCATTTCGTTTTGGTGGTTGTAAACCTGGATCTTCCAAT